GTTGCTCTAACTGCCATTTGATTGGTATTTGAGAGGCTAGGCACAATGAGCACTTGAAATGAAATACTTAATCAACCTGTGTCTTAATCTGTATTTTGTCAGTGGGCACAGAATGGGGCAGCAGCCATTTACAAGTATCTGATGTTTTATCAACAGCTCCCCAACAAGTGCTTATCCGTTGGTGAGGCACCTCCCCAATGGACAGACAGTCCCTCTCTTGCCAAGTCCTGTGCAGATGACCTCAGTTATATCTGTAAGTCATTTTCAAAACTTAGGGGGAAAAAAGATGTTTTTATTTTATATTTACCATGTCCCGTTTCCATGTTTTTTTTTCCTCTCTCTCTCTCTCTCTCTCTCTCTCTCTCTCTCTCTCTCTCTCTCTCTCTCTCTCTCTCTCTGCATTTCTTATAATGTGGAGCTTGCGAGGCCGGTGAACTCAGTGCCTAACATCCCTGGGATTCCAGGACCTCCAGTTGGCGGGGCCAGCAGTGGGTCATCCTCCCCGTCTGGGTATAGTCTACACAGTCTACACTCGGAGACCAAGATGGTGAGATTATCAATCATGATGGCGTGTGTAATTTTTTATATTTGTAAAATAGCTTTTACACTTTAAATGGGTTGTATTATGTGGTGGAATTTGCATCCCTGTTTTTACCAGCTCTTTTTGTGAGCTTAACATTAAATAACCTACATGGAGTGTTGTCTGTGTGTCTTGTTGTAGCGGCTGAAGGCAGCTTTAACTCATCAGGGCACAGGAGCACAAGATGGAGCTGGTGGAGGTGCAGGGTCCATCCCTGCTGTCCCCCAGCGGCAGGAACAGAGCCAGCAACCCTCTCAAAACTCTGATGCACCATCACCTGCCCAACCCCAGGTAATACACATGGCATATAAGCTTACATACAGATCCTCACTAGGATCACAAACATAAATGTCTACAGTGTACAGAAAACATTTGATTAATGTGAATGTTTACAATGACATGGAACCCTAAAGTAATACCCCAAATGTGTCTTGAATATCACTTGAAACTCACCCCTATAACCTAAACAAGTGAGTAGGGTTCTTCCAGACCACACCTTCTTATTCACCTTCTTCTTACCCACCATTCTTTATATTATCCATTGTCATAATTTTACATGAATCTCAATTATATTTGGCAATTTTTCAATGAGATATTGGACTGCACTGTGATGAATGTGGTTACAAATAATTATTTTCTGTACCGTAACATTTGAATGGTCTACCGTGGTAATATTAACATTTTGGATTTCACTTTACATTGTGTTATTTTTGTCCCTTTTTTAAAGGAAAAGCAAAAAACATTTGCAAAACTCAGGACATGTAGCCAAAAAGTATTCACTGCCCACCCCAAATTCCCCAGGTGTCCCCTGCTCAGCCAACAGGAGGCCGGCGGCGGCGAGCTACAGAAATGGACCCTGACGAGAGGAGGCAGCGTTTCCTGGAGAGAAACCGAGCGGCCGCCTCCCGCTGCAGGCAAAAACGAAAGCTGTGGGTTAACTCTTTGGAGAAGAAGGCAGACGATCTCGCCAACATGAATGTCTCCCTGTCGGTTAGTCTTCCATTTCCATTTTTCACTGCAGGGTTGTGTCTGCAACATAAACATGCTCACAGATTGGTCTCCTTGATAATGTGACAAGATGAGGCATGCTGGGAATGATGTGTGTGTGCTTTTGTTTCCATAAGAATGAAGTAAGTCTACTGAGGAATGAGGTGGCACAGCTGAAGCAGCTCCTCCTGGCCCACAAAGACTGCCCTGTTACTGTAATGCAGAAGAAGGCAGCTTTCTTAGGTAACCATTGAAGGTCGTGGACCGACCAATGAGCTTCCTGCACTGTATTATTTCTTTTGTCAGGATCCATCTGTCATTTCATCCATCTAATGAATTCTTCTTACTGCTCACCTCTCTTAAGGGTGAATGTTACTGTCTCTGTCTCTAGCTGCAGGAGGAGAGGAAACCTCCAGGGATACTTCCACTGAACCCATTGGCTCCCCGGCGGCAGTTATCCAGCACGGGCCGTCACCCCCCGCCTCGGCCTCCAGTCCGGGGGCCACCATCAACGGGCTGAGCGTTCGCGCTGCAGAGGCGGTGGCTATGTCAGTTTTGGCCGGCATGGGATCTGGTCAGCCGGGAGGGATCGTCATGGCGACGCAGTCGCAGTCGGCCCCAAGATGATGCGCTGACGTGGGTAGCCAGTATAAACTCGAGTGGCATTTGGAGGCTGGACTGGTGCAGAGTGTTTGAAAAGAGGGACCGGCCCTCAACCCTCACCCCAGACTAAGATACTCTCCTCCCCTCACAGCCAACGATAATCACACAAAGACACGGCACAGTGCCTCTGTCAACCCTCCAGTCCCAGCAGGCTCCCCTTTCAGAGAAGCTTCGTCACTCTCTGTATGTAAATATGAATTACACGTCGGACACTCACTCTGCAGGGTTTGGGGTCATTTCTTGTTCAGTTATGACAGTTGTAAAAGGTTTTAGATTGGGATGAAACGTATGAATGAAAATGTCTCATTTATCATTCATTTTTATTTCACTTAAAAATGCAGCTTCAATCCAACTTTGTCCCACACACTGGCTGTGATGAGGTTGGTTGCTTTCCAGACTGATAATTTTACTTGTATTTTTCAGTTGTAAGAAAAGATTTGTATGCCTGATACTGGTTATTGACATCATGTTCTACCGATGAGGTGAAAGTACAGTGAGAGATTGTCTAGTGGATTGCAGTAAAAGGCAGCCTGAAAAGTGTTTCTAATGCTCTCTCTTGTTTACTTTTAAACCTGTCCTGTTCATTTTCTGTCTGTTTCCCTTTTGAGTTAATTCTCCTTAAATATACATGACGGTTTAGTCAGCTGAGTGCATAACAAACCAAATTGTCAATGTGTACACAGTTTACCCTGAGTGTGTGTGTGTGTGCCTGAAATTTTTTTTACCACCCTTTTTAAGCCATTTGGTCATTACATTTGTCGTGTGTATCAAACCCTATTGACTGCATGGATTACTCAAGGCTGAAGAATACCACTGTTTGTTTGTGCTTCATCATACAACACTGTTTATTGATCTGCTTTTCTTCTGTTTTATAACATGAACATATTGATGCAAAAATGTTCCTTGTTATGTAAGGATTCCATCCTCAGTCCTAATGTAACACTTGAAATGGTTAGCTTTAGAGGGCCTTTAAATGATAATCAAACATAATAGATTTTAAATCATTTACCCTGGCATTTCAGTTGAGGAAAGAGTAGTGCAATATATTTTTCTATTGAATATCAATGTTCTTGCATATAGTTGACATGTGTAGCCCAGCTGCTGAGAGGGGTTTGGTCTATTTCAGTTGAAAACTAAAGTTATGAGGTGACCAGAGAAATGTGAATGAATGAGATTGGTGATGAGAGCGCGTCTGTAAAGAATTACAGATGTCCTAGTCTTGGGTGCTTTCCAACATTTGAAAAGCCGTCTTGTATCATGAAGTAGACATAATACTTGTGCAAGGTGCTTCTTTTGAAATTTATGTTTTAAAATGCAGATTATTTTATACCGTATTGTACTTCCAAGACTATCATGTTGTTTTTTCCCCTTGTGTGTCTTGTTTTTTTATAACATGTCATTGTTTTAAGATGTTTATTGGTTTTTCTGTGGGCATGTTAAGCTTTTTCCATTGTGTGATGGTATGTCCCTTTTTATTTTGTTAAAGAGGATCCCTTTTATTTGTTTAACAGAGGTTAAACCACACGGGGAAAAAATATCTCAAATGGAGTGAGTTTGTCAAATACTCAGGCCTCGAGGTGGGAAAAATTACTTGTGTATAGTCTCGACTAATGAATAAATTGTCTCGGCAAATAATAAAATAAATTAATTAAAAAGGAAAGCTCATCAGCATGTTTTCACCTATCCACACTTTGTGCCTTTCATGTATTACTTTTACATTCAAGTCACAGAGCTAAGCACCCTTTTTTTTCTGAAGAATAAATACCCAGGGATCTTAAAAAAAGGTTGTTAAACATTACTGGCAATTGATCTGAATGTATTTCTAAAATTAAAGCAACAATAATCTATTTTTTTCCACAAAAATGGATCATAGGACCACATGCGATCCAGCCCAGAGACCGTGAATGGCTGAAGATCTCTCTGAGGAGTTGCTGATGGTAAAGACTAAAAGGAGAGTGAACATCACATAGCCAGAAACACAACTTCAAAGGGGTGCTAATGTTGTTCTGTATCAACTGGATGTGTAAATAGACAAGTGTTTGTTATATTTAATTTAAAAGTTAATAAAAATGTCAATGTTGCATTAAAGTTTGTTTCCGCTGCCCCCATGTGGCCAAAAACTAGAGCAAGTTTAAGACTTTAATTATCTTCCCAATGACAGAATATTTATATGGCACAAGAAGTACATTAGTTGATTTAAAAAATATAAAACCAAAGCTAACTATCAAGCTTAACACCAACATGGATACATGTAACTTCTCACAAAACATTTTATTTTAGTTTCAGGTTGTACAAATTGAGAGTGGACACATTTCTGGCCGCCATCTTTGTTTGGGTGCATCTTTGAGCGCAACTTGATAAAAGTGTTTTAAAGTCTTTTATTTGTATATTGTGAAACAGACAGAATATTATTCTTCCAAATGGTTAAAGACACAAGTATAGAAACCCCTCCAGAACAGAGGGAATGTTAAACAATCTTAAGGAGTTTTTATTGTTCGGAATAGCTGTGAATCCAGTGTAATGGTGATTAACGAGAGGCTCAAACTGGGGCGACTTCCCACCTGAGGGGACGGTGGCAGGTGAGATGCATCCGGAGGAATGCTGCTGTTTTTTTTCTATCTCTCGCCTCTCAGCTGTAAAAACACAACAGCAGAGGGAGCAGAGAGTCCGCTTCATCCCACCATCCTGCCACAGCAATTACCATCAGCCCTGGTCATGTGACTGACAGACTCCTCTGGCGAGTTGTTCCCATCTCCCACAGTCATGGCGGTGTCGGGGAGTCGCGAAGATGGAGTAAACACCACCACCACCACTACTACTACATCCTGATTTTATTTCTTAGCTTCATGCTGGACTGTGCCCCGCTGTCATCCGAGATATCACACACATCCCGCAGGCTGCTGTGCTCCCAACGATGGCCGACCGCGGCGTTGATCTGTCGGCTCTGCCTAAAGAGGTCAGGGACCAGCTGGCGGAGTTGGATCTGGAGCTATCCGAAGGTAAGCTTCCCATCCAGCGGGGAGCGGGGTTTGATGGTTTGAGCTGTGGCGGTAATGCATGCAAAAAAACGGAAAGTTAAGAGTGGATCTTGAGCGTGTTTGATATGAAATCAGCCACAAACGGAGCGTCCTGTGTCAGCTGGGTGAGACTCAGTGCTGCTGCAGTGGATCCAGGCACGACTACAACAAATGATTAAAAAAAAAACTCTGAGCTTCTTTCCAAGCTGCAATTTCTCCACAAAGTATCATTGATGTGTTTGTTTTATGTGTTATTTATTTGCATTAATTGCGTTACATGCTTTGCACAAATGTTTATGTTACAAATCTAGTGTGTTTTAAGTCTTTTTTTCTCCTCCATTTTCTTGTTATGATCCACATTATCTGCCTGTATATGTGCCATACATTGCTCATCATCACAGCTATTTAAGCATATAGACTCCTGTGGAAGAAAATGGGTCAAGTTTGCCATCCCTGAGGCCCTGTGTGTGTGTGTGTGTGTGTGTGTGTGTGTGTGTGTGTGTGTGTGTGTGTGTGCGTGCGTGTGTGTGCGTGTGTGTGTGCGTGCGTGCGTGCGTGCGCGCGTGCGCGCGCGCGCGAGCGCAGACATCAGTGGACACCAAATGATGTTGTGGCCCCTCAGACACTCAGCTGTGCTGCTGCTCTCTGAGACTGAACCCAGAAACCGCAGCAGATATAGGAGGGTTATTTGTTTTATACGAATGACTGTGGGAAATGGGAATATGGTGCTGGCTGTTATGCAAGTCTCCTCCTCACACTGTGAATCACAGTGCAGCAGCTTGATTGGTGCTGTGCAGATCTCAGGTGCCCGGGGGTGGATGAGTAATGTTATGTTTCACATGGAGAGCCAAGCATGGGGGATGTATGGGCCACTAATAATGCCTCAGTCCCTCTTGCAGTGCAGACACACACACACACACATACCTGGAGCCGTCCTGCTGCATGTTGGAGGACAGGTGAAACTTCACATCACACGAGAAAGTGGAAACAGTTTGCCATCGTTACTGTGCACTCGTTCAGCCTTTTTTATTAATTTTAGTAATAGTAACAGAGCCAGAAATATTTTTCTCTCATTCATGAAAAAGCAACAAATCTCACAGGACATGTGTTTGAAGCTTTTAATAGACAATCTATCTGGCAGTCTTTCTCTAACAGAAAGGTTAGCTCAATGGTTTGTCACTTGTTCCAGTTTGTTAATTAACAAAGCATTACCCATTTATTTAATAGACTACCTGAAGGTGTCAGTTTACCTTGACCATGTGTCATTCGTGATATGTCATTTAGTAGTCAAATTCACAGTGTGGCTGCTGTGGTAGGATTCGACCTGCACTGCTGTACAGTTGAGTGTGTGTGCTCTGGTTAATAATAGACACCAATTAACTGTGTGATAATGAGGCTGGATAATGGAGAGGGAATGTTCACTCTGTGTTCAACTCACTTAACATGGGAGGCAGTGGATGATGGGAAATCGTTGTGTACATTATGCACTGGAATACAGTAATGGTAGATTAATAACAACAATATTTATCCTGCAACACCTAACGCACTTGTTTGGATGGGATGTAGGCAGGTATGGTAACAGGTTAATTAACCTGGGGTGGGTTGTTTGACTTTTGCTTGATTTTGTTATGATTGCAAAAGTCAAATTTACTCAAATGTGTAAAGTCTTGAGAAGCAAGATTTAAGTTTTATCACTTAAGTTTTAAGTGAAAATAACAAACCAGGTCAGAGTGTTTACACAGTCTGGTGCCAATTATATAACTGGAACAAAACAAGTGGCTACACCTTGACGGTGTTTACTGGATATTAGTGTGATTTATGATTGTTTCCATTATCAAATAATCTGTTGATTATTGCTGAAACAATAGTGAAATGCCCATCACTTGTTCAAAGACCCAAAGGTCTTCAGATGGCTTGATAACAGTCCAGACTAACAAATGTTTTACATTTTTGCCTGATAAATGACGTAAAAATAGTTGCAGATTAACTTTCTGTTGATTTACTGTTTACGCTCTAATAACAAGTTGAGTCTAGTAACAGATTGTATTATTTTAGCTCTGTGGTTTGATAGTCCCTTGATGTAAGTGCCATGGAGTGTAAATAGTGAGTCTTTGATGAAAATGTAGAATAACAGACCTGGTTATAATAATTACAAATTCTAGAGACATCATAATATCTGTAATAAAATGAGAAGATACAACTTTAACTTTAACTTTAACTTTATTAAATTCACTTTATTAAATTCACGTAGAACACAAGCATTAACTATTTCCATGATCCGTTTTATTTCTAAAGAAAATAATGAAAAATGTCCATTTTTTCAAAGACGAAAGATATTAATTTTACAGTGATATAAAGCAAAGAGGATTACTCAGATGTTTTTTATTTTTATTTACACACACAAAAGACTGCATTAAATCCAGAGATGTGTCAGGAGACGAAGCCACAGACTTACACAACGGACCTCCCCACCCTGAAACAGAAAAACAAAAAAGTGTTGACAATTCATTCTTGTTGATTAACTAATTATTCCAACACTAGTGGTCGTCAAGTCCAGGGCAAGTCTCAAGTTATTCTCTTCATATAGGCCTATCAGGTTTCAACGTAATAATCACTCGTCTCTTTACAGTCTTTCTGTTGTGTAACAGCTTGGAAACTGCTGCTGCTTTGCTCTGCGCAGACTGAAGCAACCGATTGATTGTATTGATAGGAGTGTGAGTGCAGTCAGAGTTACCTGTGACAGTTTTTAGTGCTTTAAGACTAAACAGTGAGTTAGTGGTAAGCTGACACCCCCAGAGTGACCCTCCCTCAGCTGGGGAGCAACGACAGCTCTATCATCTGTAACTTTAGATCGGTGGCGACCGTTGTGCCAGTAAAAAGGCTCAGCGCTGCTGTCCAGATGCCCCGCTCCTGTATCGATGAAGTGCAATCGCCGTCTGCTTGGTGGCACTCAGGCGGCACGCTGATGGGACATGGCGAGCAGCAGCTGGCTGCCCAAAGAGTCTTAAATGTTCTCATGGATATCTTTTACATGGCTACAATCACCCCATTGTTGTCCCCGGACTCTCCTAGCAACAAACAGAAGAAAATATGCATCAGCACTTTTTTCACAGCAATAGTTGTGGTCTGCAGTGTGGGTGTGTGTGTGTGTGTGTGTGTGTGTGTGTGTGTGTGTGTGTGTGTGTGTGTGTGTGTGTGTGTGTCTGTATGTGTGTGTGTATTTGTCTGTATTTGTGTCCAAGTGTATGTGAAAGAGAGAAAGAGAGCGACTCCACCTACTTTAACCTCCGTGACTGTAAGGACACAAAGAAAGCCATTGAAGGGATCAAAGTCTTGGTGATTGAGCCGGACTGGAATTTAGAGCACTGAACCACAACTGTTTAAGCTGCTCAGGGAGCATGCAGGCATCGTAGTGTCTGCAGCTCCTGTATTTATGTTGTGTATGTGAGTGGGTGACCAGAGACGGAGAGTGAAAATGACCAGAGATGATCTGCTTTGTATAGATGTTGTTCACGTAACAGAACTGGCAGTGCATGACATCGATCGCAGGACTGTGTTCGTCACACATATTGAAAACTGTCAACTACTGAAAGTTGGCATCAAAGGCCTAGTCACATTCATTGTGCTGATTTGAATAATAATCTCGCCAACTTCAGACTATATTTTATTGCACAGCTGTCTGTGTTTAGAGAGCGTTTAACATTTGTGAAGATTGCAGTTTTTTGGCTGCTGATCAGCCTTTAAACACATAATCTGTTACTCCAACTGGACTTGCTGGATCGTATTTCACCAACGCAGACCCTTGCACGTTTTTAACACAGTGTCGTCTTCGGTCTGAAGCCCTAAACGCGAAAAGACTGGCTACAGCCATGCTAGCAGCTCTGTGAGGCTGTACATAGGCACAGCAATACTTTGAGCTAACTCAACACACAGGCATAATGCTTAGATTGTTCACTGTCTGTTAGCATGCTAACTATGCTAATTAGCGTTTAACACAAAGAGGCTGATGAGAATGTCATTCATTTTTCAAATATTTGGTCCGAAAGCAAACTATTGGACACATTTAAATGCTCTGATTTATCAGCCAAACATCGGTATCTGCCAATATTTGTCTAGTTGATTGACATCGGCCTCTCAGCAAATAAGATGGAATTCACTGTTGTCAGTGGCCGATGTTTATCTGTTGTGTTGCCGCAGTTATGCCCAGGTTAAATGTTTTTGTTAATTATTTCCAACTCGGATATTGGAGAAATAATCATCTTCGTTTTCCAGCACCGGCACAAATTGGACCTAAATACCGATGTGCTCCGTGCAGCAGCACACACAGTGAGCGGCTGTTCAGCTCTCCATCTCACATCTCGGATGAGAGGAGAAATAGACTGAGGTGCAACAAGGCAGGGATGCTTATCTCGTATGTTATTTGTTTCCCTGGCACAAAGGATGAATAATTAACAACAACAAAAACACAATGTTATTTTAAACATCGATATTATCCCAGAATCGGTGCATCCCTACATTTAAATAAACACATGATGTCATTAGATCAAGTCAGAGGATCACCAAAGCTATTACATTTCATGCTGAGGGGAACATGAACGTCTGCACCATATTTCATAGCGGCCCATCCAATAGTAGTCAGCAGACAGACCGACCAACAGACTGTCATTGCCGTCCCCAGAGCAATGCTGCAAGCATGGTTTAAAACATTATGGTGTTGAAACTCGGATGTCATTTCAGCGCTAGCATCAATAGATTGCAAATGATACACAGCCCCACTCATATCCTATGATGAATACCATCCACACAGTCCCATTGTATACGTGTGTGTAACTATAGATGTATGACATGTCCAGTAAAGCATACAGTTCGGCACAGATTACAGAGTTATTTGTGGTCATTTTCTGTATTCCTTAATTTGATTGCTGTCTCGTTCTCTGCTGTAACTGTCCGGGTTGATAAGTGGATGTGTGGATTTTGTAGTG